TTAAACAATTGAGTTATCTCATCTTGTCAAAATCCTGCTTTATGTTTTGGCTTGTGCTTTATTGTGTGGTTAAGGCAGAGTGATGTGATTTCCAGTTTGGGCTGAAACCATGGCAAGTAAATCAGATTTACTTTCAATTTATTATGAGCTGTTTGTTTGTTAACTGTAAATGGCTTGGTTCTAATTGATAGAAAAGTAACATTCTGTATCCATTCTGACACTACAAGTTGAAATGAAAACTTAAGAAGATTGTACCTTTGTTTGTAACTTCTCAGGCACATTGACTACTGCATGCACAGAGTGAATATGCTGCGTCATTATGGCGTTAAACCAATTCTTGTGTTTGATGGGGGCCCATTACCGATGAAGAGTGAGCAAGAGGTTAAGCGAGCAAGGTATCCATCGGTAGTTATGGTGATCACTCACATAAATTCTCTCATATCAATAGTCAAATTATTGTTTTTGTTCAACTTTTTGTCCCTACATCCTTACCCTTAATATATATATTTTTTTTCCTGTTAAGAGTGTGAATAAATGGTTCATCAAAGAAGCCTCTTTTATGAATTGTGGGTGTGTACATAGAAAATATTGACACTGGTAGATTTTACTTACTATAGATATTAGAATTATCATTTATATGGAATATTTGGATGAAGTATTGAGGATATTATATGTGAGTGTTAACCTCCAGTTGCTGATTTTTCGATGTAAAGAAAAGTATGTTTTTGGCTTTGTGCTATTTAGCTTCACATGCGATATTCCAATTAAAATGATTGATCCCTACTTGCCATACATTTTTCTATTTGCAGATCAAGAAAGGAAAACCTATCCAGGGCCGTGGAGCATGAGGCAAATGGAAATAGAAGGGCTGCCTATGAATGCTACCAGAAGGCTGTTGATATATCACCTTCAGTTGCTTATGACCTTATCCAGGTAAAATAGATGTCGATTTTGTAATTTTCTCAATGACTTTCTTATGATTTTCTATATGCTATATGGGTATATGAGTTGATTCCATCTGCTGCCATATGTTTACGTGGATCCTTTTGTTATAGCGGTCAAATATATGGTGTTTGCTTTCTATGATAGGTCCTGAAGAAGGAAAATGTATCTTACGTTGTGGCTCCATATGAGGCAGATGCACAAATGACATTTTTAGCCCTCAACAATCATGTTGATGCTGTGATTACAGAAGACTCGGACTTAATTGCATTTGGTTGTCCCAGAGTGAGTCTGTAGAGTTAGCTCCTCGTTTATTGCCATTTTTTAATTTTTTTTTTTTGTCTATTTTTTCATCTTATCATTTTTTCTATTGTCCTTTCTGATTGAATCTGTAATGACACAACAGATAATCTACAAAATGGATAAATTCGGGCAAGGTGTTGAGTTTAAGAGTGCCTTGTTACAGTACAACAAAGATCTAAATTTAGAGGGATTCACTCAGATGATGTTGCTCGAGATGTGTATCTTTAGTGGATGTGACTATTTGCAGTCCCTACCTGGAATGGGCCTGAAAAAGGCTCATGCTCTCATGAAGAAGTTTAGAAACCATCAAAATGTAAATATTTATTTTAATTTACAGTTATTATTTATATTATCATTAGTTTCTTATTGGATTTTTCAACAAAATAGTTTTTTGATTATCTTGATGCAGGTAATTAAGCACTTAAAGTACAACAACATTGAGTGTACTCCTCTTTACGAAGAATCATTCAGGAGGGCAATTTTGACTTTCAGGCATCAACGAGTTTATGATCCGGTTAGCGAAGACATTGTGCATTTATCCGAGCCAGTGGATAGTACTGATGAAGATTTAGACTTCTTAGGCCCATATCCTTATTCTTTAATTTCCTATAAGTAATCTCAACAAGAACATGGCAAGTACATTGTGCTTTCTTGGTTATACCTTAACAAGCACCACTTCATTGTCCCAGCTTGTGGCGAAAGGTATAGCAAGAGGGAGTCTTGATCCTTTCACAAAAATGCCAATCCAGGTAGTTGTTCAATTTCAATTTATTTTTACTAGATATATATATAAAAAAATTCTTCTTTTGATCTATTTGGTTTGAAAAATTAGAGAGAACCCGAAGCTACTGAGAAGGTGGTTCAACGAACGTACCAGCTCAAGAATTTCAAGCCTGACAGTGAAAAGAAAAGGCTCGATTTGCCTGCTCAGAAGAATCTCCTTACCAATTATTTTTGTATCCAATAAATCCGATTTTAAGTTTTTACCTTAGAGCATTTCTTTCTTAATATATAACCAGTCATGCTTTAAATACTGGATGATAGGAGAATTCTTTTTTTTTTTTCCCTTGACGGACTAAGGTTTTGCTTCTCTTGAGGCAAAGAGGAACTTCAAAGCCCCTCGAGTTACAGCTAATCATCTAAATGAAAGCAACAAAATTTCCAGTCATTCCATAAATACACACGAGGTCAGTTGGTAGTGAAGTTTTTTTCGTTCTTGTAACATTTATGTTGTTTATAATTCTTTGCCTTTTTGGTATTTTTTTTTTTCTGTTTAGGTAAAATGTGACGATTTGAAGTTTGCTGATTCACAGGATCATGGTAAGGACACATCCTATATTTGCTACATAGTAACATAGATCAAAGTTCTTATTGTTATTATATACCCGTAGATGATAGAAGAATTGGAGTTAAACCGTTATCCATATCTGGGAATTCAGTTTGTAAGCCATGTATCTCATTGCACAAGGATCTTGAATTGGATGAAGATAATGCCTCGAGAGATAAAAATATCAGAATGAGTAGTTCGTATTATCCGAAGAATGATGATGATGAAGTGGAGTACGAAAAATGCCGTAAAGAGGAGAAAAAGGTTATAGTAAAGAGTCGTTATTTTTTGCACGTTAACGCAGAAAACGCTGATCGTGAGGAAGAAAAGAGTAAAGGTGAAAATTCTGCCGAGATACAGATAAATCGATCGGATTTAGATTCTAATGATTGCAAAAGCTCAGCTGATGACATAAAACAGAGAATGAAGAGTTCTTACTTTGGACAAATTTCTATTGAATCTGAAAACTTTGTAAATAGAGGTGAAGAACTTGTCGAGCCTTGCAATTATGGTGTTGTTCGTAAGAGCTTGTCAAGTGATGATAATCTGTTAGAAGGCAATACTGTGAAGAAAAGAAAGCTTGCTCAAACTGACAGCCCAATTGTAAGCAAATTTCTTTTATTGTATTTAATTAGAACACTTTTGTAGGTTAAACTACTCGTATAACCGAGTACTCAGCTTTCTTCTTTTTCGAATTCAGGACGACACAAAGGAAAATAAGTGGTCTAAAGGTAAATGTTTTTGAATATTTATATTTATGCCAAATGCTGTGGCATGCATTTTTTATCTACTTTTTTTTTTTTCTTCAGACCTTTCGAGCTCATGCAATTTGGATATAGAAAACGATACAAAAGATGATGAAGAAGAAAAAATGGCGTGCAACATTAGTCATTTAGGTCGTTATTCTGATATAGCCGGGAAGTCAATGGAAAAATTCGTGTCGGTTATATCGTCGTTTAAATACAGCTTGTCTGGTTCACGTGCAAGTGGCCTTCGTGCGCCTCTAAAAGACATAAAGAACAACAATTGCATCAAAAGGTGAGAATGTGCATGCAAAGGAGTTCTTTAGTGTTTTTAATCTTCTGCACTTATTTTTGTGTTTAATGTTTTTACATTTTTAGGTCGAGTCTTGATGTGGATTTGAAGAAATTCACTTACGCGCCTGCCAAACGAACAGCAGCCTCAAGATGCCTTAAAAGTAAAATTTGAGGTTCTTTTTTTTTTTAGAGTGGAGTACTAGAAATGAATTTTGATGGCTGGTCTGGTTTTTGGTGTTCTTTAGAGAATATATTAAGAATGGCAGCTTAGCAGGTTTGTGTTTTGCTGCCACAGGTTTTTAGTGAAGCCCTGTTTTGCATGATAAATGTGTAATTTGTTTAATGTACACTATTTGTGGTTTTTTGCCAATTGACTCACTTACACATATTGTAACTTTATGAGTTAATGTTTTCTTTTCTTTCCTATTTTGGTTGGGAATCTTCTTTCTAATTTGACAAATGAGTAGAGTTCAAACCATTTGTGATATTTATACCCTTTCAGAAAATTGTGATAACTAATAATCTTCACCCTAATTTTCGAATCTCAAAAAGGCAAAAAGCCTCATAAAACCTACAGAAGTTTTGCAGTTCGAGTGTAGATTTTAGGTTCAATGAGCACAATTGTTTTCTATTAATGAGTCAAACTCGGCTTGAGCTTATATTTGTAGCTTCCAAGTTCGAGCTTTATTCCAAATTTTAATAATATTATTGAGATAGGTCGATGAGTGCTAAAATTTCTGTATTTAACCCCATATTAGCTCAGTTCGAATAATAATTTCGAAAAATACAAATATTATGAAATATAGATAAAATCATAAAATGATTAATGTTTTATATTATCAAAATTATGAAGATTTGTATATATAGTAATATTATGTGTACAAAAATGTTCTAATAAGCAGTCTTAACAGAAAGTAGATGGTATAACAAGCCAATAATGCACTCCAATTGTGATTAAATAGCTCAAATTTTGGGGCATTCTCTTGGAGATGAGAACACGCTAAGTTTATATTTTGTTAGTTTTGCATCTCTGTCATCATTAGCAACATCATTAAAAATCATGGCCATTTTGTAAGTTGCATATACCTTTTAATGTGCAGTTTGTAAATGAAAGTTTCATACTTAAGGGACTGAAATTATGCTATTTTCTTACCTAATTAACCAAAATTTGAAAGGTTATCCTGTGTGTGATTGGCTTGTGTTTTTGTTTGTTAATTCTTTTTTATTTCTTTTTATTCCCACAAAGGAGTTGGGTCCAACATATCTATGAAAAGTAAAAGCCATGCAAAATGAATTCAAGAAATCTGTTATTGCATATTAATTGGGAAGATACATTTGTATTTTTTGAAATGACTATGTAAACTTATTTACAACACATCATACCTCTAATGACATGATTGGTAGGAATGAATGACATGGGAATGAAATGTCCATTCCCTTATTCATTCCTTATCCCATGATTGGTATATTTTTTGGAAATGAATGAACATTCCAATAGGAATGGCAAACCCCAACTCCATGGGATTAGTCATTCCATAGTAAATGAAAGGTTTTCTCATTCCCATGTGTGTAGGAATCATTTTTTCAAAAAATAAAATTAACAAATAATAATAAAAAAAAATGTATAATAATCAATATATATTATAAATCATGATTAAAATATATTAAATAAAATTATTTTAAAAAAAATTCAAATAAAAAAATTGAAAACTTACTTTTATTTATTTTTTAATTAGATATATTAAATACTTATATAAAAATAAAACTAAAAAAAAAATATTATTAAAAATATATTATTTTTTATATATCAAAAATATATTACTTTTAAGAATATTTTATTTTTTATATAAAATTTAAAAATATATTATTTATTTTTATATATTATTAAAAATATATTACTTTTTATATTATTAAACAATATATTATTTTATTTTTATATATTATTAAAAAGGCATTTATATATAATTTATTAAAAGTATATTATCTTTTAAAAATGCTTTTATTTATTTTTATAATAAAAAATGATAATGTCATTCCATTCCAGTCATATTCTTTCTGCATACCAAACGCATCAATGCCAAAACATGTTTCATTCCATTCTCATAATCATTCCATTCTTCAATTCATTCCATTTCTACGAGATTCCATTCCATCATACCAATCATTCCATAAAGGGAAATGAAAATGCATCCTTCAATTCATGTCCAAGGAATATGAAGGCTATCAAACATCATGGATTGTTAATTTATATAATTTATGACAACATAAATTCTTGCTTGAACCATTTGGCCATTTGGTGGTTTAGCCTATTATACATTTTTAATGAAATAAATAATTGCATTATGAAATATTATACTTTTATTTATATTATTTTTTAAAGCGTGACATTTCAATTTAAAAGTATATATACGCGTAGAAAATGTACCGTCTTATTCCTTTAAAAATAATTAATTAAAGAGTCATTATCTTTCTCTGCAACTTTATTTAAAATTATAATCAATCCATTTGAAACACCCCAACAACCAGTATTGCATGTGTACACATTAATAGACATGATTAGTTTGCTCAAATTTGAAGGGGAAAAAAGATACATGATTACTCAATAATATTACAAATCTAAACATAGTTTTTTACTAAGGTGACATTTTTATGTACTTAAAACTCTATTCATGTCCTTTTCTTTCTTTATTTGGAAGGATTCGAGATGTTCCACCTCATCAGGCTTAGACATTTTCTTTAGTATTTTCTTTTCAGATGGATATATAAATCAATAACGTACATTGAGCTAATAATAGCACAGTTCTACAAGTATATAAACAATAAATTCGAAGACTTGGAGCTACACATTTTGTGGCTTCTAAGTTAAACACGCGGCACTTATAATAAATTATATATAATAAACTTCCCGTTTTAAGCTACGTTTATCAAATTTAAACTTTGCAAATGATTCTTTTTTTTATTTTTTTTTTAACTGAAGACTTAAATTATATATTATTATGTACTTGCAACACACGATATAGATATAAAGACAAAACATATGTGGACCCGTTTTTATTTTTCCTTGTTAGCTTGGATTCAGAGTATTAACAAAACGAGAAAATTAGTTATGGAGTACATGAGTTGTCCATAAAACAAAGTTCTACATACTCTAATCCAAATTTTAATTAGTTGATAATTAAATAAGATCCATGAATAATACAAGCTAACAAGTACCAAGCAATAAATAAGACGAAGAAGAAATAAAAATAGGGAAGTAGGATGTTAGAATAGAAGGTGTAGGGAATTGTTAATAAGCACCTAAACCTAAGACCAACTCAAAATCCACGTCATACCCAAACGAAAAAGAATGGTATTTTTTTCGACTAATAGTAAATACATAGATTCATTCAATCAAAATCATGAACTCGGTACATCTCTAAGGAAAGAAGAGAAAACTGACAACACAGAGTCATTACAGAGAAAAAAGTCTGATATGATCATATTAGATTGACTGGATCCGAGAAACCAGCTAACCGAATCGGGTGGACATGTAGGTCTGTCGGTACTGCAGGTCGAACGGAGTCCTCAGGTCGATGGGGATGCTGCATGAAGAGGTATGACAGTTGAGTTAGAGCCCTCGAAACTCGAACTGGAGGTATGCTGGTCGAAGGATCGACCTAGGTGACATTGTACACAAGCCTAGCCGGGAAGAAGATTTGCCTTATGAGAGGTCGAGTCGGTCGTATAGTTATAGTTAGAACGTCTACTATGAAAGACTAAAAGATAAGAAGGAATATTATTAAGCTAAGAACTACACGTGAATAGAGCCATGTGTCCTAGCAGAACTGGGTAGTTCGAGTAGTCTGGGTAGCTCATCCGTGCAGTCTTTGGCAAGAAGGTAACACCCCTATACAAAGAATTGATGTATGTTCATTTGCACTTTACACACTCTATATACTTACAGAGAGCCTTATAACACTACTGTTGGTCATCTTCATCATTTACGTTCTGACTTGAGCGTCAGAGGCTATTCACCGAGAAACATCCCCGACATTGATTTGGGCAGGTTAAACAAGTTTTGATCGGTCAGGAAGGCAAGCCAGGTCAAATCGAGGCTGTCCGAGGTCTGTTACACACCAGAGTCTGTCGCCAATAACTCCCATTTTGCTCATTTATGAGCTATCACATTGTTATCTCTATTAACCTGACGACAAAAATTAAGCCACTGTTGACGATATTTTTCGTCAGCCTTTCCCCCGTTAGGTTCTTGCCTTGCCATGACTGCCCCCTGGTTAGCCACTGACCATGCACCGAGGACTCACGGTTTTCCACAGTGCTAGCTCTAACTTAGGATTAAGACCCATCGTTGGGCTTACTGTGATTTTTTCCCTTCTCTAGGCTCGAACTCTACACTCTGAGCATAAGGTGAGTTCATGGTAAAATCCACCAAATTGGTGGCAACGTAGACCCTGAAGATACCGCGAATAAACATTAATTAATTTTTAAAAGTTGAATATGAATAAAAATCCTAAAAATATTAATTTTGAGTTTAAGAATAAATATGATTGTTGGAGATAAATTAATATTTGATATGACCATTGGGTATTTGAGAATATATTTTATTATTGGACGTGACCTAAACACACATATACATCAAACAAACACGCAATCAAATAAACAAACACAAGTATAAGATTTAAACATGGCCACATTTTGGGACAGACCCAGTTCAGCCCGGACACGTTGACCACAGGTCTGACCGAGCTGAGTTCATGCCGGTTCAAAATCGAATGACTTGTAGTCATGTCCAACAAGATTACATGTTCGCACCCGATAAATTTGGCATTGCCAATTCAAACGCAACCATGAAACATACTCAATCAAACGGTCCATATGACAATATGGCATACAATTACAACCAAGAAAAAAATTGCTTTGTCGCAAAGATGACATAATATGTCAATATATCAAATATGGTATATTTGCTTATTTTCCGAAAATAGCACAAATGCATAACCACCATCAATTTTAAGGCAAAATTAAAATAAAAAATGTTGCGCCCCAAAATAACAATCTCTGTCAACCCATAAAAATTAAAAAAACGCCAGCCGAGCGCGTTTGGCCTGTCTCCTAATCTGACCCATTTCCTTTCAGAAAAGAATAAACTCTTGTCATCAACAGTCAGACCACAGAGAATGTTCATAAAAAAACAGTTTATTAATTAATAATTATACAACATAAAAACGTCTTAAATTAAAATAGAAAATATATTGTTAATTATACTGACTATTTTTGATAAACCTAGCTGTTAAACTAGTTTATATAATTTTTAAGTGAATTTCGAGCTTATAACTGATAATGTATGACTTAAAGCTGAAAAGCTAGTTTATATGATAAAAGTGTTTAGTAAAATTAACTGATAAGCTAGATAAAATAAAATAAAAATTTCAATTGACTTATTTAGAAAACTACCCAAGAAAACTTATTAGATAAACTTGAGTTTTTTTTTAAAAAAAAAAAATCTGTCCTATCAAATCAAACTTATTTAAATACATAAAACTTATAAACTAATAAAAAAACAACCAAAATGCTAAATAATGAATAAATTAAAAAATTGGATTGTTTTCTTTTCCATTAATTAAACTTCAACCAATTACAAGAAAATAAACAACAATGAAAACATTATAATTATAATACAATATCAAAAATCGAATATATACATTTTACGTCTCAAGAAAACCGGTCATCCTGAGAACCGAATTCCTGACTCGGCTCAAGTCCCGGCCCTTCAAAGTCCGACCGACTCCCGTGCAGACGGAGAATGACATCATCTTTCCGGCCAGGCGCCGCCCCACGATGACATGGGGCGGCATCATTTCCACGTCATCGCCGCCGGAATCCAAATTCGACTCTGCGTACCACGGCCAGAAGGAACTTTCCGGTACGTTCACCGGCGTTGACTTGGTTTTGTTAGTCCACGTCAGCCTTTTACCCCTCAACTCATCAATGTTATTTCCGTTTCTCGAATTCGATTCGTAACTGTCGATGTTTTCTCTGACCTTATCTTCGAAAATCACTTCGGATTCTTCAAACTCTTCTTCGGCCATTGAAATTATGGAAGTTATACTAAAAACGCAGCTCTCTCTCTCTCTCTCTTTTGGTGGTTTGAGAAAGATTTATGGGGAATTTACAGGGAAAAAAATGATTGCGTGAAAATCGTGTATTTATGCTGGCGCCTGGCGTCAGCAATTTTAGATTAGCATTTTAAAATGTACTTCAATTTGCGGTAATTGTTGTGTATTGGTTGGATGAGTCAGATACATCATACTTATTGTATAAAAATACGTATTTATACCGATCAATGTCATACTAGTGTTATTTATATTGTTGTTAATTATGTCATTTGCGTATAAAAATATGCATATTTGTGGAGAAAGCATAAATAATTGAACTATTAAATTGAAATATAAGCACTATGCAAATTAAATGAAAAACATAATCAGCTAAAATCATTAGCTACCATAATTTTTTGTTCAAGTTACACAAAAGTAACGTGCAATCAGATTAAATTATGTTTTCCCAAAGAACCTCCATATATATCGAGATAAGAAAGTCAAGTTGAAATTATAACTCTAACACATCGGTCTAAACACTATATTTGACGCCTTATAAATTATAATTCACGTTCAATTCATACTTAAAATCTTACTCAATCCCGTTATTATCAATATTATCAGTATAATTAAATAATACAAGGCAATCGTTTCTTACACGTCACATTAATTTTAATTCACTATTCATATACTCATGTAAATTTTAACTGACTAACATTTCACGCTCACGTTTGAATCAAATCAATTTTTGTTATATTATTTTAAATATTATTTAAATATAAAATTAAAATCACACTAACAACTAATCATTCAGTTTTTCTAAAATTAATCTCGATTAATAAAAAAAACTCATTTTGAATAGATTTATTTGTAATCAAGTACGGGTCACAAGATTTTGAGTAAATTTGCCATAAATCGGCTCACTCTTGTCGATGTCATTGTGGTTGTAAGATTTTTATTTAATATTTGTTGTAATAAATAAGTTAAATTATAGTTTGGAAAATAATACATTGCCAACCTAGTGTACAACTAGGTTGACAACACAAGTAAAAAATCTACTTGTATATTTTTTTATTTTATTTTTTTTAAATATTTTTACTTGTGTTGTCAACCTAGTTGTATCAAATACATTGTTTGCTCATGATGATGAATGACATCTAAATTCATGTCACTTACTTGTGGTCTATGGCTCCTTTTGCTGTTTTTTCATTTTAGTGACTAGGTGGATTATTTTGGTAGTTTTGTAGAATTAATTGACTTTTGACCCGGTGAGTTGGGACTTTTAATTAACATTCTTTTCGTCAATATATTCCTTGCGTATCTTGTACTCAGATTGGGAATTTATTAAATACGTACGCGTAATTAGAGTGAAAACTAGTACGTATCTCGTGCGATGCACGGGACAAAGATATTAAATGAGTTATTTTCACACCTTTGTTTATTTAAATTTAAAACATAATAGGGTTATTATCTATTTTCTACCTCTTTTAATCAACGTTAAGTCTAAAAAGTAATAGGATTATTATAAGTTTTTTTCCACATCTTTTAACTAGCGTTGTTTTTTTAGTCAAAACATTAAATATGAGCATGTTAGGGCTAGCGTGTAAAATAATTAATATATTATCTCACTAAAATATTTATACTAATAAAAATTTAATTTTAGTATATAAATTTATCTCTTGATATAAGATAAAGTAATAGTTTTATTTGTTGTTGTTCACTATATAACATTTAATTATTATTTTATTATATAATAAAAATTAATACTGTTAAATAGTGTAGTGGAATTGTTATAAAATTATATGAATTATATTTTTAACAATATGGGTTTAATATCTTTTTATGATTTGATAATATAACTATAATATATTCTTAATGACATAATAATATGAGATACGGATTTACATAATACTATAGATTTATTCCTTAATGTTAAGATATTGAATTAAGTAATATATGATTCACTAATTAATGTTAAGATATTGAATTAGTAATTTGTCTCTTTTTATATTGAAAATAATCATGTGATTGAGTAGAGATAACAATTATCTATAAATTCCTTCATTTAAGGAATAGTTTTTAAATTGGTCCAAGTGTTGAATGCAGCCCGATTTTCTTGTAACTAAAATGAGAAGAGATTTTGAATTTCAAAGTTTCACTTCAAAACCACACGTAAATTTAGACTAATTTTTTTTTTCGTATTGAATTCATTCTGAAAAATGTAAGATTATTTATTTCGTAAATTTTAGTACGCATAATTTCGAATTAAAAATATAATGATTATAAAAAATATGATTGATTGATCTATATAAATGTAACCCAAATTATATATAATCATTATACGTTTAGATCATTACCTAATAAATTAGTGAATCAAAAATATAATCTATGTGTAATAATAAAAAAACTGATCGATTATATATATAAAATTAGTATTTTACGATTAATCTATGTGTAATAATAAAAAATCTGATTATAATGTCCCTAGTCAATACCTAATAAATCTGAATGAGATTATTACGGTAAGTGAATTCATAAATTATCTTCCTCAAAATATTTTATAATGATTATAAAATATTCTAATACCGAAATAGTAATGACATTTAATGTTGTTGACTTTTCTAGATACTACATATAGTAAATAGATCCCCTTTTATATAAGTATAGATGAAAAAAGTCAGACTTTAGATTGGATATAATTGTGTTGAATCAATTGCACTTTCCATTAGAAATGTGCCGCGCAGAAACTTTATGAATTATGATAGAAGCAATAGCAATATTTGGCTTAATATAAGATTTTTTTAAATAATATTGTCTCGCACAGAAAAATAAAATACAAAATTATTATTATTATTATTATTATTATATTTTATAAAACTGAAACGGATAGGTTTGATATCTATATATCCTTCTTGAATATAATTCTCAAATGTGTTGAACCTAAGTTACATTCTCACACGCTTCGAGATTTTATGTGGTAAATTTTTATGTTTTTTCATTATGAATAGATAAATTCATCCAATCCAAAATAACTAGGAATGTAATAATCGAAAATATACAAGATATTTATGGTCATTTAAAAAAGCATAATTATGTCTTAATATAATTTTCTATTCTAAAAGTGATTTATATGGCGAGAATTTTTTTTTTTCAAATCTTTCTTTTTTCCTCGATCTTTCTTTTAAAATTACAAAAAAATTACGAACTTAAATTATAAATATATTTTTAAAGTTGATATTTTTTTGTGTTTGTTATAAAATTTTTATATATAATATATCTATTTAATCATCTATTGATAACCTTCCATTTGACATCTATACTGTACATACAAAATAAGTAAGTAAATAAGTAATTATATTTAACTTTATAATAAAATTAAATTCTCTATCAATAGTATTTGAAAAAAAGTAAGAATATTTAAGTTAATTCAACTACAAAGTAGTTATGTGATATAAGTTAAAAAATATTATAATATAAAATAAGTAAGTCGTATAAGAGACCAACGTCATTTTAAGTATAAATAATAATAAAAAATATTTAAAATTCAGTTTTTTTAGGTATAAATTTTTAACAAATACCCATATATATACGGATATTATACTAGTATATAATTATAGACAAAAAAAATTTATGAGAAATATTTTCGTTTTTCCGCTCTTTTCTTTAAAATTATTATTTCTTTTTGTATTTCAACTCATTAAGCAAGTTTTTTTTATTNCAAACCCTTGCCTTCAAAGGAGGATAATTTGTGAGATAAATTATTTATTATATTTTTTTTATAGAAAATTTATAAAATTCCTTTTTAAATGGTGGATAACTTGTGAGATAGTTGGAAGTAATGATAATGGCGATTTAATAAGGGGCTAGGGGTTAATTTGATGTGATTTATTTTATTTACTCGGAGAACTTATTTATTGGAATATCATCCTTTAAGAAATAAACTATTCTATAAATCTAATATTGTCCAATCTTGTGTAATCTAATTAGTAACATGAACGATGTTCACATGTCCGTAACTTGATCGCATCATGTATTATGTTTGAGTATAATTCTAATTGATTGATGATTACGTGTGGGATTTAACTTAATTCGTTAAAAATGAATAGAACATGATTCGAATCGTGTCGGTAGATGTGAGTGGGACTAAATTACGGATTGGAGCAAACTAGATCAGATCTTTCCTATGAGTATATTATGTGTAAATTTGTATATTTATGAACTAATAATAATAGTATATTATGTGTAAATTTGTATTTATGCAATTCAAAAATATTTTCAGACATATTTATTACAAAATTAAGTTTTCATATTTGAAAATATATTATACTTTTAGTTGTAAATATACGTACTTGTCTTTAAGAAAATGACAAAATATACGAACATAGCATGACAACGAATGACTCGATCAAACAATAAATATGAACTTCACATGAACTTAAAGAAATAATTTTTAATAAATAAAAAAAATCGAGACACATGAAACACATTTTTCATAGGACGTATTTTGCCACCGATTAATCACAAGATTTTCGACAAACGTATTCAAAATATAATAACTTTTATGTTGTGTATTGTGACACTTCAAATTCATAATATTTCAGCTAAACTACTTGTGTTTGGACATCTCAAGAAATGAACGGGAAATATGAACAAGATGCTTATGAATCATATATTCTAACAAGATTTTATCTTTGTGTTAAGTGTATCAAGTGAGCATGGATTTCAAGTCACATGTTAGTTACAAAGATAGAGAATCATCTCAATTCATGGGTCAAAATATATATTTTGAGCAAAATATACAAAATTTTCGACTTGGGCCCTTCACAATGTTTTTGCACTTGTGCTGGAATGTAGGCGGCCCATTGCTCTGCATGATCCCATGTATAATTTTCCACATTTTTTTTGTGTTTTGAATTTGTCTATTTTAGAATCGAACAAACTTTTGAGCTACTTAAATTCATCTTATTTACAACTTTAATATTTCATTTGTCTTAAAATGATTAGAAATATTTTTAAGCTTCATTTACGAAGAGTGGGATAAAATCGGTACACTTTTTTTTTTTTGAATACTGGGATACTTCCATATTTTTTTAATTTAAATTTGTTCTTTGAAAATTTTAAGTCAGATAAGTGGGTATTTGATGTTGGATATCATCTTTAAAATTTTAATAAGTTATAAAAAATACATAAAATTTTTAGAGAGAAAAATATTGAACAATTTTTGAGATTTTTTAAAATTTCAAAGGAATATCTCCACACTTTTAAAAATTTAAAATTAAACACACAATAATTCTTAAGATATTGAAAATAATTTAAGAATCACAAAAATAATACAACATCGTTAATATTACTTCACCTCGTTTCATTTTTACTAGTTGTATTCACACCAGACACCAGTAGATTGGATACATAGTTTAGGTTTGATTAGATTTATAAGGTAAAAATGAGTTGATTTTAAAAAACTTGGTAGTGTTTGGTTTGGATAGGATATTGAGTTTGTATTTAAATAATATTTAAAATATAATAATTATAGTTGATGTAATGTAAAAGTAAGAAATAAGTGATTGAAAGTAATGAATAGTTAAAATTATACGAATGAATGAATAATGAATTATAATATGATGTCTACGGATGATTAATTTATATTATTTAATTAAATTAATAATATTGACTAGTGTTAAGTTCAATTATATTTGAGTTAAATTTTAATTTGTTTTGTCAATATAACAGAATATAGTTTATATTCAATAATGAGGCTCTAAAAGTCGCCATCCCAAACGACGTGGTTTTGGAATTCAACTTGAAACAAATTACGGGCATTGGCTAGAGAGTCGAAGAAAGGCTATTTTCATTTTTCAAATTTTAGTCGTAATTCACAAACAGAAAAAGAAGAAAAGGAAGGAGCACATCTTTATTCTCGCCGGCGGACTGCCATCGGCCTATCATTAGCACCTACTCAGGTACTTCATAGGTATTCGATTACCAGTGGTTGAATTCTAGTTGTACATTATGCAGTCTTTAATCTTTATGCAATTAGGTTTTGGTAATTTTGAATTTTAATGAAATTTATTGGCATTTTGATCTGAGTAATGAAACAAGAATTGCAGAAATATCAAATATGGTGTTCGTTGCTATAATGCTATTATTGTCTAAGNTGCGGTACATATGTTGATCCAAGTATCCATTGTGTCAAGTGCACCGGGAGTAATACATTTTTAAGGAAGATTTATTTATTTATTAATCTATTTATGTTTATTTTTTATTTTTTATTTTTTATCCTACTGCTTGTAGTTCACTTATTTGTTATCTTGTTAAGCTTGTAATTTGTTATTTGTTATATTGTTATTCACTAATTTGCTATCCTGCTGTTTTTTTTTTTCTCTCTTTGTATGCCCAAGAAGCTGATGTTTTGTTTTTCTTCTTTCCCTCTGCCAGAATAGTAATTTCGGTTTGTTTCGGTTCTTATCGGTTTAAACCGAAACCGAACCGATAAGAGGTCGGTAACCGATCTTATCGGTTCAGTTTCGGTTTGAATATTAGTGAAACCGAAACCTATTGGTTTGGTTTCGGTTTTATGTTATCACAATCTCAAGATTAAGCATTCTCTTTTGTGTCGATAGATATGTTTTTCGAATTTCATTGATTGTAGCTTTTCACCCAATTAAATTGGAGCATTACATTCAGTTACATATTTAATTCAGTTGGTATGAGTTCTTCAATTTTACTGCATCGTTCTATTTGCTGCCTTTTGTTAATTCTTTGCTGTAATAAATGTCAGTGAAGATTGGAATTTTGCTGGGATGTCACTCTTTATAAGTCTGGTGTTGTACGTGCAATTAGCCACATAATTAATCTCTCGTCTTTGAATTGTATGGTTGCAGGGGTGAAAGAAGTCTTCCAAGGAGTTTTCTTGTATGTTTCTGCTACTGAACGCAATCTTTAGATGTTTGCGAACAAAATGGTAGTGCTTTTGAGTCGTGCAGATTTACTTTCTAGTAAATGTCTATTGTTCGTATTTTCCATGGCTGTTTTTAGTCTTCCACTAGGATTTTTGCTGATAATGTTTTGTGAAACGCATTTAGGTTTCAGTTGTTAAGGTAGATCATCCAGTATGGTGTTCGTTCAAAAAATACAGTGATCTCTCGATCTTAAAGATGTCCAAGTTCAGGTTTTCGTCAGAGAAGGCAAGAATATAGATCAAATGTTTTCATTTCATTCGTAAAATCTAGAATGGTGCTGTCTGGTTTAAGTCTGATTTTCTCACTGAAGGTTTTTTTTTCTTTGGGCAGTTGAGAGTTGTATCGGCTCTAAAACACGACCCTGGCCAAAGTGACAAGTCTTTAGTTGTATCTAGTGCTGGTGAGAAGTAGGTCATGTTCTGTTTTCTCAGATTATTATATTAATTTATATGTCGCTCAATTCGTCTTCCTTTTTTTTTTGCTTATTTTAATCGATGGGAGTAATTTCTCATGGAGAATCTCAGTTTCGTCCCTTTTCCTTTTGTTATAAGGGAAAATTGATAAATCCATGGCGACATGGGATGCAGGAAACTTATTAAGAAGTCCGGAAAAAAGGAACATCACTTATGGAAGAAAAGAGATTCATCTGGTTCGGGACAGAAGGCAATGAACCTTGTTCGCATTGTATGTATAAAATACATGTATTGTTCAATGACCTGAGATTATTATACTTAAATAGTAATATATCGAGGTAATATGGCAGATCTCTGGAGTTCCAAACGAAAAAGTGGCTGTTTACGGTGCTCTAGATGAATGGATAGCATGGGAGACTGAATTTCCATTAATTGCTGCAGCAAAGGCTTTAAAAATTTTGAGGAACAGGAATCAGTGGAAACACATTATTCAAGTATGAAAATTTGTAGTTCAGTGTTTGGCGATGTTGCGAAGCGCTAATTACAGTTTTTAGCAGAATTTTCATCATAAAATGTGCAATATTTTGCGTATTCAGGTGGCTAAGTGGATGCTGAGCAAAGGTCAAGGAGCAACAATGGCAACTTACGATTGCCTTTTGCTGGCATTCGACATGGATGGACGAGTGGATGAGGCCGAGACATTATGGGACATGATTTTGCATGCGCATGATCGGTCAATATCAAAGAGGCTGTTTTCTAGGATGATATCCTTGTACGACCATCATAACACACCGAATAAAGTTATAGAGGTGATTTTCTTGGGTAATTGCTTGATACCCTCCTAATCTGTATATATGACTGCCTGGATTATGAAAACTCAGGTATTTGCTGACATGGAGGAGTTGGGAGTGAAGCCGGACCAAGATACTGTTGGAAGGATTGGACGAGCTTTCGAGATGTTGGGTCAAGAGGACAAACGAAGAATGTTAATGATGAAATACGGAAGTAAATGGAAATACATGTACTTCAAGGGAGAAAGGGTAAAGGTGAAACTTGATTCTTTAACATGAAATCATCTTAGTTTGGAAGATGTTATTTGTATATTTGTTCATTTACACATAGAAGTTGAACAATGAATATGCAAGCTTGAGATTATATACGAGGAAACATGGTGATTTTTTTTTTTTTTTTTTTTTCNCATAAATGACTACATAGTTTTACCTCAACTCCAATCTTGTATTATGAGTTATTACTCTTATTTGTAGCGTATACTTATCTAAAGTTAAAAGCATGACTCTCTGAAATAACCAAGAAACTTGAGCAACTGAAACTGCTATGGGACTCCACACACTATAATCTGCATTATACCACTTGTACCCCCCGAATAAATACTTGTCCTTCTCAATCTTTGCATGACTTTGAACTTTTACCGTGATTTTGAAGCTTTTTCTTCTGGCCAGCTCGGTCGAATGATAGCACAAAAGATGATATTTTTATGGATATTCCTTCTGGAGGGCTCAAATCAAGAAAATAAACACTATTGCTGTAGCCGCCCACATTAAACTGTTCTAATGACGTTAACTGTGTCTTTCAAATTAGGAATTGCTACTGATGGATAGTTCAAACTATTCGGAGATGGTGGGTGTAACACCCCGCTTATCAGAGTAAATTTTTCGCAACTTTTACTTCGAAAATACTCATATCTCTTTCGAAATCTTTTGCGACTAGTTCGGGATGCTACTCAACCTTACATCTTGAAAATCCATTTATCTTTAAACTCTTGTCTAATAACTCTTTTAGACATAATTAAATAGATTTTCTTTAAACTTGCATTTAACCATATCCATCCTTCTCAAATTTATAAAAACTTCAAATCATAAATTCATTTAAGAAAATGCAAGTTCAATAGTCAATATGCGTAGCGGAATAATCGAAAGCGTGATTTATTATACAAACTTTATTAAAGACTTCATAAAAATCCTTGGAAATGCACAACCACCACCACAACGTCTCGAGCTCACACCTCCGGCCCGACCCTGTTTCCTGAAAAACACAATGGGGGTGAGTACGATCCTCTTGTACCCCGAAAAACACCCATACTAAAGTAAACAGCAATAATAATACAATATCATGATCTCCGGTATATAACTGGACTTAAAACTCTTCCAGTATCTCAACTTCATCTCACCGATATCTCATCGGATACTTGTGCACAATCTAATGGATATTTCTCAGGCAACTCAACGGCCTCCATTAGAACTTAGGAAATACTCGTAAGGCAACTCATCAGCCTTCTTCCCAAGCGTATAAACTTAAACTTTTACATACCTCGGACATGATATCAATATTATACTCAATGTAATACCCAGTCTGGGTCCCCACCTTTCGTCGTTTGTAAATTCGTAAGTGTTGTTCTCGTATAGCAACCTCCTCAAGCTACATAAAAATATATAAACAAATATACTAAGTACTTATGCTCATTTACTCAATAAGATGCTCGGTTTTCTCAATTCATTCGGATAACTTATTCAAATCTTATAGAAATTTCAATAATCATATCATTTCTCAAATTAACTTTTCTCAATCTTTTACTCAATCAATCTCATCATATATCATATTCTCCAAATCATTCATATTTACTCATACTCATTTTTCACTTTTACATCTTGAAAGTGAAATTAAACTCAATCATATTCATCTTTTAAACATCACATCCAATCATGATATTAATATGCCATACTTAATACAATTTTTATAAAATTGTATGCTCAACATATTAAACCATCTTCATCAAATTTACTCATCACTCATATGAGAATAGATCATAAAAATCTCATTTTAATATCTTGATCATCTCATGAATATTCTTGTATATATATATACTCATCTTCACATATATGCCATCTCATATTCATAACTCATTCATTTCTCATCTTTAAATTATGAAATTTAACAGTCATAATCTCAACTTCTAAATAGACATGTCATCAAAATTTCATAATTTAATCATTCATATTCATCAAGTTATGAGAATTTAAAGTCATAGTGAACATAAACTTCATCTTACATGTTCATCTTCAAAAATTCATAACTTAAGTTATACTATGCCAAATCACTAAATTCTTGATCTCATGTACTCCTCTTTTACACAAGAATTATTCATTTAAATCATACTTTTCCAGCATATTCATATCTTCATGAAAATCTCATGCAAATCAACATCTCATTTCATTAAGCACATATATCACATAATTGATCTTTAACATCTTTAACTCATTTTATCAATTATAAACTCCAACTTCTACATCATGATATACATACTCATAAACATGTAAACTTATCATAAAAGCATGAACTCAAATATGAAACATTAAGATAAGTAAATTACCTCCTTCTAGGTGAAGTTAAAAACTTGATTCTTCACTCTAATGTCCTTACTTCTCCAAAGATTACTCCTTCTCACTCTCTCTCACAAACTCATATGACTTTAGTAATTATTTTGGTGTAAAAACTCTAAGGTTTAAGCCTCTATTTATAGGCACAAATTGGAGAAACATCCAAATAGAGTGATTAAATGATCATAATATAAAATTTAACTTATAAACTTAAATAATCTTTAAAATATCTTATGATTTACTTATTCATCCATCCAAAGCATATTTAAACATCAAAAATGGCCTTTGGTTAAAGTCACAATCGAATTCTCAATAATCCAATTGGACTGTCGGCAACACGACTCGTGTGGGGGAGTCACACGACTCGTGTGGCCTCACACGACTCGTGTGCCTTGCCACACGACTCGTGTGGCTTGCCGACACTTTTGCTCTTAATCATTCATCTTCTCACACGACTCGTGTACTATATCACACGACTCGTGTAGCTTCACACGACTCGTGTGGCTCATCACACGACTCGTGTCAAAATCCCGAGGCTAACTTTCATCACGTCTCCATCCCACACGACTCGTGTGCCTCTCCACACGACTCGTGTGGCTTCACACGACTCGTGTGTCTCTTCACACGACTCGTGTGACTTGTTCCTTGAAAATTCTTAATTTCGGTCCGATAACTTACTATCTTGGACTCGAAATCACTTATTTCTTGGAACAATTACTCATAATAACTGAGATAACTGAAAGGGATATTACAGTGGGTTTTTTGGGCACTTAAAGGAAACTAAAGAAGATATAGTCTGTGTATGAAGCGTTGTAGACAAGTCCTGGGTTGACTGCTTTCTTCCAGTTGAAATGCCCCGACCCGAATTGGAATGGGTCGGCTGGATTGTCAAATGGATCGTTTATTGGGTTGCCCACATTGTCTTTTTGGTCAGCTGTAAGGTTGAAAGGGAAAAAAAAAGGAAAGAAAAGAAAGATCAATTGATATTTATATATAATGGATTAATTATAAAATTAGATAATTAGAAATGTTTATCAGAATAAGTTACTTTCATATTTTTCTCCCTTTATAAGTACAAAGTTTATCTAATCCAATTGTGTACTAAACTAGTACGTAGCCCGTGCGATGCACGGGACTTAAGTATTAAATGAGTCATTTCCACAGAGCTTGTCCGTTAAGTAGCTCGTGCGATTCACGGGAGATATTAAATGAGTGGACCATATGGCTTGTCCGTTTAGGCCTAAAAAATAATTGAGTTTGATCATCTATCTTTTTACATCTTTTCATCAACGTCATTTTTTTTTTCGGAACATTAAACCTGAGTCTGGTAGCGCAAGCCCGTAATTAATTAATATATTATCTCGCTCACATTTTTATAATAATATAAATTTGATTTCATTATATATATATATATATCCTTGATATAAGAAAAATAACAATTTTACATAATCTTGTTTCTCGTATAATACTCATATTATTTTATTATAAAATTTTTGTAATATAATTTCATTATTATTATTATTTATGCAAGTTATAGATATAGTAGTCTTCTTCTTTTTGTTTTATATAATTAAAATATTTAAGGTATGTTCATATTATTTATTAATGTAATTAATTTAAATTATGTAAATAAAAAATAAAACATTTTGTACAAACATTTTACAAAATATACACAAATGTTTTTTTAGAATTTAATTTTTTTTATAATAAATAAACATCTTTGAAATTCTATGCAATTATTAAACATCCTTATATAAATTCGAAATCATAATTGAATTCTATGCAATTATTAATTTTGTCCGATGTTATGAAAAACAATTAATTCGGAAATGATTATATGTAAGTTGAGATAAAATGAAATGTATTAAAAAAATCAGCTTATGATATTTTCCTTTAAATATTTGAATGAATTTCAAATTCAAATTACAAATCGACCTTTAGTTATTCAAATAATTTTAAAAAAGTTAACAATTGTAGTAAAATGTACGTGACAATATATTATAAATATACATGACGTCAGTAATGTTATGAATCTTTAAGTTCCTAAAATATATATTGTTTAGATATGAAACTAATTAACTTATATGTTAAGAAAATATATATAAATATATGTATTGTACAAAATATACACTCGACAAGTTATTATATTTGTTTATATATTGTTTGCGTTGTTTATTATATTTGTATATAAATATATTGTTTATATATTTTTCTGTATTGTACGACAAATTATTATATTTGTTTATGTATTGTTTAAATATATATTGTTTAGATATGAAACTAATTAACCTATATGTTAAGATAACATATATAAATATATGTATTGTATGAAATCTTTAACGTGTTTGTTAAATTTTTTTCCTAAAAAATTCAAAATACATTTATGCATGTTTTGTTTGAAGTTTGAAATGTAAATATGCATCTATATAACAAATCCCATGATTTATGCTAGCATTAAATGCTACTTGATTTTTTATTAAAAAAATTACAAAAACATACCAAAAATGGAATGCAATTAATATTCCCTATTTTTTTGTTTACTAATTTTGAAAAATGTTAATTCTTATTATATATACTAGTACAGAGCCCGTGCGATGCACGGGGTGCACAATTTTAAGGTTATATATCCAGGCTTATAATTATATATATGAATAAATAAAAATGTATGGGATATATATAATACGTGACCCGTGCAAAGCACGAGATATATTTATTTGGAGAATATTATATTATAAGATGCAATATTCAATAAAAGTTTATAATACGCAAGAAAATTGTACAATGTTCAATAAAAGTTTTATAATATTCAAGTGGAGTCTTAAAGTCTCTTGTACATTAAGATTACTGACAAAATAATATTTTAATCAATGAGTTTCCTTTCCTTGTAGCCAAATTATGAATGTGATTTGAGGAGTACAACAAATCGATATATAGCTGACTTGCGTTTTTCATTGTAGTTTTTTTTTTCTTTTTTTATAATGAATTTAAAGATATTCTAAAATATAGCAAAAATTAATTTTTTTATTACAATTAGGAATTTTATTAAATATAAACTCTCAATCTATGGTGTTAATCAACGTTTAAGTCTAAGAAATTAGGAATTTTTACCTCTTTTAATCAACGTTTAAGTCTAAAAAACAATAGAGTTATTATAAGTTTTTTTTCTACATCTTTTAAAACATTAAATATGAGCATGTTAGGGCTAGCTTGTAAAATAATTAATATATTATCTCACTAAAACATTTATACTAATAAAAATTTAATTTTAGCATATAAATTTATCCATTGATATAAGAGAAAGTAACAGTTTTACTTATATTGTTGTTCACCATATAATATTTAATTATTATTTTATTATATAATAAAAAAGAAATATTGTTCACATTTTTTTTATGATTTGATAATATAAACAAATCTATACTTAACTTTGACAAATAAAACAAATAAATACTGTAGTAAGTATTTAATGTATATACTAAATAGGAATATATTTGGTATAATCAAATATCAAATATAATCAAATAAGTCAAAGTGTACATTTTTATTTGGTATTTGATTTTTTTATTATTAAAATCTTTTTAATATACTTACTTTTTAAAATAAATAAATAAATAAATCAATTAAATAAATAAAATATTATAATACCAAAATATAATGGCATTTAATGCAGTTGACTTTTCTGGATAGTAAATATAGTAAATAGAATCTCCTTTTATATAAGTATAGATTGTATAATACGGAAATAGTAATGCAATAAATGTTGTTGACTTTTCTTTATACTAAATCTGGTAAATGGTATACCTTTTAATATAAGTATAGATATATATATATATATATATATATATAGATAAGTATTCAAGACTATATATTTATGCAACAAAAATTTGAACAAGTGAAAAGAATTTTATATTCTTATTGAAATTTGTAAGAAATAAAAAATATAAAAAATATCAAAATGATAATTATTTAAAATTATTTAATATATACTAGTGGTCATGAGTGCAGATCTTAAAGCGGCGCTACTCCAATTGGGGTGCACGGCCTTGAGCAGAGCCAATGCCCCGGTGACATGTGGACACAACATTGATGTGCCAGACTTTATATTATACTTAACAATCCGACGATCTTCGGGCATACGTGTCGGAGAAATTGCTTCGCTCCATGCTGCCAATATATTCACTCCTGGAGCTGCGTATTCGCTACATGACCAATAATCTTATAAATATTAAGTCAATTTGCTATGAATCGTCCTGATTTGTGCTTTGCTTGTGATGAATCAATATTTCACAAGATTCCCTTTGATACTTACTGTTTCACATTGTTATGAAACTTTTGATCCAAACACAACACAACAAGACTATTGAAGTCTTTCAATCAGATAGGGGGTGGTGAGTTTAAAGCCTTCACAAATTATCTCAATAATCATGGTATTTTATTTTATAGGATTTTGGGATGTATTTTTCATTAGTGCAGTATATTTGATCAATAGAATACCCACTAAAATCCTTAGTTACAAATCCCCTTTTTGAGCTGCTGAACAAACAAAAGCCTGACTAATATCACCTAAGGACATTTGGATGCCTTTGCATTCCCTACATACATGAAGCCATATAACAAACATAAACTGAATTTCAAAAGTTTGCCATCAGCGTGTCTTGGATATAGTCCATCATTTCAGAAGGGTTATAAGTTTTTTCTATTGTCTGATGAGAGAGTTAATATTACAAGACATTTGGTTTTCTCATACAAATTATGTTGCAATTATTTTTATTTCAGATAACTTATTTCGAAAAAAAAAAAAAAAAAATAGAGAACTGAAATAGCTATAGGACTTCGGACAACGTGAATTCCATCAGACCACGAGTACCCTCCGAACAAATACTCGCCTTTCCCAATAGTCCCAGAAAATGCACTGTCTGTTTTTACGGTGATGGTGAAACTTTTCTTCTCACCGGCTCGGTCAAATTTGAGCACGGGCGGCTGTATATTTACCAAAATACCCTTTGGAGATTGGACTTTGGAAAAATAATAGACTCCCTTACCACACCCCACATTCGTGACTGTCCTAACGACGGTAACCGTGCCTTTTAAGTCGGGTATGGCCAGTGATGGGTAGTTCAAATTATATGGAGGCGGTGGATTGTCCAGGCACTTTGTAGAGCTAAGATTGTGAATCCCAATGCTGCATAGGAAGAGATGATAGTCGTTGAATGAAGCATCGTAGACGAGTCCCGGGTCGACTGCTTTTGTCGGGTTGAAATAACCCGACCCGATCATGAATGGGGTGGTCGTGTCGTTGTAATCAGTAGTGATGGGGTTACCCTCGTTGTTTAGCTGTCCCGCTGCAAAGCAATCGAAACTTAATCAACATAATGATATATATAAATAAGGGTGAAACGTTGACTGCAATCTGTATTATACGTGCTTTTGGACTTTGCAATCTGGTAAAATGCAACCAGAACTTCATTAACATTCATAATTCGCACACTCGCCTACTTGTTGATTATATGATCATCCTGTCTTGGTTATGGTCAAGATGCAGGCGAGTGTGCAATTTATGAATGTTCATGAAGTTCAGTTTGCATAGAAAAACAGTGTAGGTAACAAAGCCTAAAAACACGTATATCGTACAAGTTCGAAAAAAAAAAATCATTTCAAATATCATTTTGTGCGCAATTAATGGATCCAAGTTTTTTGAGCACCGGTTGTCATGAGGGCAGATCGTAGGGCGGCGCTGCTCCAATCCCGGTGCACGGCCTTGAGAAGTGCCATTGCGCCGGCTACATGCGGGCAAGACATTGAAGTGCCCGACAAAAAGCCATATTTGACATCACCATACTTACGAGATGCTCCTGACCATGCTCCTAATATATAATACCCTGAAGCCGTGATATCGGGCTGCAGCCAAGAATGAAGAAACAAACAATCATCCAATTCTTGGTTTACCATACTAGTTTTGTTGGCAATATTGCAATTTTAGTTTGACAGCTCTTGGTGAATGGAACCTTATATTTTTATTCTTTATTACTTTTTTTTTTTTTTTTTTT